AGTTGCCAGCAAGTTGATTCCAACTCATGGTAACCCCACGTGTGTCAGAATAGAACTATGCTCTATAGAGTTTTCAATGGATGATTTTTCAGAAGTAGATTGCCCACGCCCTTCTTTTGAAGCACCTCTGGGTGGACTTGAACCTCCAACCTTTCAGTTAGCAGTCCAGTGAGTGCATTACCTGTTTGCACCACCCAGGGACTCCTGTCGTTTTTAGGTGTTATCGAGTCAGTTCCGACTCATAGCCACCCCATGTACAACAGAACAAAACACTGTCCAGTCCTGCACCATCCTCACAATCATTGTTATGCTTGAGTCCATTGTTGCAGCCACTGTGTCAATCCATCTCATTGAGGGTCTTCCCCTCTTTTGCTGACCGTCTACTTTACCAAGCATGGCGTCCTTCTCCAGGGACTGATCCCTCCTGATAACACGTCCAAGGTATGTGAGACATAGTTTTGCCATCCTTGCTTCTAAGCAGCATTCTGGTTGTCCTTCCAAGACAGATTTGTTCGTTCTTTTGGCAGTTCATGGTACATTCAATATTCTAGGGACTCCTAGAACTGGCTTTAATATCAGAGAGCCAGAGGGGCCAGACGTGGGTAACACAGCCTCAATGCTGCTGGTCTAGGTGTTGAGAAGAAAAAAAGTAAGGACACAGCAGGTTAGGAAAGCTGATGAAGAGTTTGAGAAAATGTGCAGGAAGTCTGCACAGTTTGTATCTAGGGCTGGAGTCAGAGTGAAACAATGGCAGAGCTTCCCAGAGTCTGGCTCCCCAGCCTCACGAGGACTGGCCCAGCTTTGTGGCATGTCCTTGGCGTTTCATCTGCATTCAACACTTGAGATCCTTTAACCCGTAACTTGCTTTGCTGGACCGCCATCTCAGGCGTAACTCCCACACTGGCAGCAACAGCCACACACGCTTATGTGTAGTGTCACCAATAACTCCAGAATTACAAGTTGTGAAGCTGCTGACTACAAGGTTGGAGGCTCGAGTCCACCCACAAGTGCCTTGGAAGAAAGGCCCGGAGATCTATTTCCAAAAAGGCAGCCATTGCAAACCCTATGGAGCACAGTTCTACTCTGACACCCGTGGGGTGGCCATGAGTTGGAACCAGCTTGCCTCCTCGGCCACCAGCCTATAAATCCTGGGACAAAACACACTGTAAGAAGGAAGAGACCTGCCATACAACTCTGTTCCAGAAGGAGTCCACATCACCCAAAGCGGGCCATGCCTTCATCTTGCAGAGCCAGAAAACAAAATAAACCAACAAAAAAACTCCTCAAAATATGATTGTCAGACCTGCCTATCTACATATAAGGAACACTGAGACCCAAGAAGGTAAAAGGATTTACCCAAGGTCACACAACTAGTGAGAGGCAGAGTCTGGACTGGAATCTAGGTCTTCTGACCCCCACGCCAATGCTTTTCCACTAAAATAAGTTGTCTCTTTAGCTTATCCCATTCCCAGCTCAAGTTACATGAGATCACAGCCCTTTCAAGAAGAAAGCTCAGTACTGGTGTCTCTGCAAAATCCAGAAGAGGGGCCCTCTCCTTGTTCTCCCCTCTGATTGGCCCATGGCCTCATCTAAAGAACAGGAAGTGGTTTCATTACTAACTCTGAAAGCACATCCTAGGGGTAAGAAAGGAGGAATTTGGGGAAGAGGATTGTTGTACATGATGGTCAAGAGCGATCAGCAGACGCTCTACCGTGGGCCACTCCCTCTTGTGTGGGGAAGGGGAGAATATATGGTCAGACATTTAAGAGGAAGATGAAGGTTGTCCTTGAATCCTAACCAGAACATGAACTCAGCAAGAGCTTCTCCAAGCCCCAAGGTGGTGGGGAGGAGGAGGAGGAGGGCCCCGCTGATTCTGCTGATTCTCTTTCTGTTCTGACTGGGATGGAGGCTAGAGTTGGGGCTGGGGTAGAAGCACCAGGGTGGGAAAGGTTGCAGGAAGTTTCTACAATTGCCAGTGCTTCCCCTACCCTCTTCTAGCACCCACAATCCCATCCACAACTTCCCTGCCAACGGAGGACGGAGGAACACATTAGTCACTTGAATAATTGAAAAGTTTACTGTGTGAAATGACGGGGACTTAGAGGGCAACACAGAAATAAAAACCCCTGCTGTTCTTGTTAGTTGTTGTAGAGCCAATTCCACATGGCAGCCCCATGTGTGCAGAGTAGAACTGCTCCATAGGGTTTTCAAGGCTGTGACCCTTTGGAAGCAGATTTCCAGGCCTGTCTTCTGAGGTTCCTCTGGGAGGATGTGAACAGTCAACCTTTTGAGTAATAGTCAAGCACTTAACCACTTGCACCACCCAGGGACTCCTTTAAAAAAATCCCTGAGTCCTCCCTTAAAGGATGGAGGCATGGAGATGACACTTCTTGATGGCCTGGCCCTGGAATGTAACAATCACATTGTCTAACAGGTGGATCTGAAACAAGCAAGTAACCCTCCCTTTGATAGTCAGCCAAGTTCTGTCTCCTTCCACTGGTGGGATTATGTCCAATCTCAGTGCTAACACGCTGGGACATCAAAGAACACAGACACAGATTTATAGAATGCTAGGCCTTGAAGAGACTTTGGACATCTGTCTATATCAGTGGTTCTCAAACCTGGCAGCCCATCAGAGTCATCTGGGGAGCTCCTGAAACATTTAAATTCCCAGGAACCAGTTCAGAAGTCGATTAGGTAGATCTGGACTGGGGGCCAGGAATCTGCATTTTCAACAAGCAGGCCCTGTTTAGAACCAATGATCTGGTCCAGCTCAGCCACCCAGTTATCAAAACTTGTATACAAGACAGTGGTTTCACACCAGAGAAAACTGACGTGCCAAGAAGTAGTTTGGAGGCAGCACTTGGCCTAGAACCCAGGTCTCCGGCCTCCCAGTGTGGTTCCTTTGCCAATGCCCTCACATGAGACTTCTCTCCCACAGCTCACCAGTCCTGTTTGAGACCCCTGAGGAGTAGCGGGGCCCATTCATCCAACCCACAGAGGAATCAGAGCTTCCAGGCGCTTTAATTGAGTCCCCATTTGGTTCATTGGTAGAAATGAATGGTAAGGGGTTGGAGTGAAGATAAGGGCACTTTTAAGACAGAGGTCCCCAGGCTGCAGAAAATTCCACTGCCTCAAGCAGCTTGCTTGGCATACCCCGTGGCTTTACATTAAAATCCTGGTTCCCCTCTCCTTAATTGCTGTCCCAAACTAGAGGAAATCGGCAGAAACCAGTTTAGGCACCATGTTGACATTCAGGATAACCATTTAGCTCATTAAATACCTCATACATAGTAACTTCTCCTTCTCTGGGTGGAGTTTAACCGCCACTTTCTGAACACACTATGCATGAAGCTATATGTAAACCCCATTACGCCTGCACAGTATGATTAAGAATGTTGCTGATGTAACTTGTATGAACTTCCTACTTGTAAACCCCTTAAAAGTAACCCACCGCCTTACCCTCACTAAGCAGTCTTGGTGGTAGCAGCCTCGACTGTTTCCTTCTTTGCGCAACGAAATAAAGGCGCCTTTCCACTTTCCCACCTCGGTCTCTTGTTTATTGGCTGAGATGAGATGTGCCAAGCAGAACCTGGGGTTTCTACCCAGCAATACTTTCAGAAAGCTATATTCTGTACCCTGATGAGTTAAAACAGGAAAGTCTAGCTGATGGTCTAAGACACACTACTTGGTTGTTCCAGGCAGAAGGAATAGTCTGTCCATGAAAGTAGCCTGTTATGTTAGAGGACCCAGAGCGGTGGAGGCAGAGTGAGGGAGAGGGAGAGACGTAGATGAGGCCTCAGAGGTAACTTGAGGCCAGGTCATACAGGGCTCTGTAGGCCATTTTCAGGTCTTTGGCTTTTACTCTGAGTCTCTGTGGGATTTTGGACAAAGGAGTGACATAATCTGACATGTTTTCATAGGAGTACTGTGGATGTGGTGATGAGAATAGATTCTATAGGGTAGGGGTAGAAGCAGGGAATCCAGTTAGGAGGATTTGCTGTAATGCAGGAGACAGATGATGGTGGCTCAGATCAAGGTGGTAAGAATGTAGGTGGTGAGAAGTGGTTGGATCTTGGATGATTTTTTTAAAGTTTTTTAAAGTAGAGCCAACAGATTCTCCTACGGGTTAGATGTGCTCTGTGAGATTAAAAAGGGGAGCCAAGGATGGTGCCAAGTTTTGGCTTGAACAACTAGAAGGTTGGAGTTGTCATCAACTGAGATGGAGAAGGCTGTGGGTGGAGGAGAAGGTTTGTGGGTCTCCATGAGGAAGGGACATCAGGAGGTCAGTTTGGACAGGTTGAGTATAAGATATTAAACACACAAGGGGAAATGCTGCACAGGCTGTTGAACATATGAGCCTAGACCACAGGGGAGGCTGGAGACATGATTTTAGGCATCCTTGGCACCATGAGGTATTTAAATAAAGCCTTATGACTGGATGAGGTCATCAAGGAGTGAGTACAGATCAAAAAAAGAAGACTGTCAAGGACCCTGGGGACCCTCCAGCAGCAAGAGGTCAGAGAGAAGAAGAGGAACTGGCAAAAGAGACTGAGAGGGTGTGACCAGTGAGGTAGGAGGAAAACCTGGAAAGTGTGGAGTCCCGAAGTCAAGTGAACAACATGTTTCCAGGAAGAGAGAGAGGCCAACTGGGTCAAATGGCATTAAAATGAGGGTGGGGAATTGACTATTGGATTTGGTTACTTGGAGGACGCTTGTAACCATGACAGGAGCAGCATTTGACTCTTTACCTCATGGAGTCCTACAGTGTGACTACTGACTGTCCTTTAGGGCCCCCTTATCGTTAATTTTGTCTTCTCAATTAGGTTGTAAATTTTGCAACATCAAGGATGATGAGTCAGCGTATCCCCAGAGCATGAGTCCTAGTTGGCCATATAGTCTTAAGGAACCTGCTGTAGATCTTTATACAGTTTGCTAACAGACCCACCTGAATACCCTTCCCACTGATCTACAGCAATTACCCTTAATGCCTGGCTTACCTTGGACACAGAATTTCAGTTCCTTGGGGTCAGTGATGACCTTCCTGCTTTCCCGGATCACAGTCCGGTTCTTCTTAGTTTCTCCCCAGAGGTTGGTGCCGCCATACATGCTGGGAATGTTGAGGATGGCAATGCCTTCAAGGAAGATGTTGCTTAGGTCCACTCCAACCCCGTCACACTGGGGGACAGGAAAAAAAAGGCCATCTGTTAGTGTCCTCAGTCTATCCCAATTCAAGGTGCCATATGTGTGTGGTGGAAAGCTCTCATAAAGGGCATGACAGCCCTGCCTCCAACAGAAGGTGGATCTGGGACAAAGTTGCTGAGGTCTAATGCTTTGACCACTGTAGTGAGATGGGCAGCTCTGGGGACAGCAGCACAAGGCTCCAGGGATCACCATCGGTCCAGAAGTGTCTCAGCATCAGAGTACAAGGCAATGGCAAAACTGTTCTCCAGTGCAACCTTATTATCATCAATTCTGCCCCTTCCTAACAATTGTGAAGATTTGGTGGGACACTGAGCCCAGAATCTAACATGTAGTAAATGCTCAAAAAACGATAGAAAATTTTTGTTTTTCTCCTTATTTTATCCCTCCCGTGAGAAGAGTAAGACTTTCGCATATGAAAGGCTTTCAGAATTTTCCTGTCTCCCTTATCTGTGTCGTAAGTGCAATTTTGGCACATGTGCTTGCTGATGCAATTGCTTTTTCATCCAAGCTCCACCACCAGCATCCCCCTTGAGATACAAAAGGCCAAAAAGCTTGAATCTGCCAGTCTCACAGATCTATAAAGTCAGCCCACTTTGATATGATGCTCACCAACACAGCGTAAAATGTATTAGCTCCGATCCTCGGGATCGTACGTAGTTTATTTCATTTTGCAGAATGAAAAACAGACTCAGAGAGGTGGGCTAAGTTATCAAAGATCAACTAGCTGATAAATAACAGAGCAGGGATTCAAACTTGGGGAATCTGACTACGTTACTGACTGAATTGTGTCCCCCAAAATATGTGTTGTAAATCCTAACCCCTATACCTGTGGGTGTAATCCCATTTGGGAATAAGGGTTTCTTTGTTATGTTAATGAGGCCATATCAGTGCAGGGTGTGTTTTAAGCCAATCACTTCTGAGATATAAAAGAGTAGAAAGCACAGATGGCGGAAGATAGATGCCAGGTCACATGAAGATCACCAAAGAACCTAAGAACAGAAGCTGAAAAGAGATAAGGACCTTCGCCCAGAGCCTGTGGAGATAGACAGCCTTCCCCTAAAGCCATCAAAACAAAAAAACAAACCCGATGCCGTTGAGTCGATTCCAACTCACAGTGACCCTATAGCTAGTGCCCTGAATTTGGACTCCTAGCCTTCTAACTGTGAGAAAATAAATTTCTGTTAGTTAAAGCCACTCACTTGTTGTATTTCTGTTATTGCAGCGCGAAGAAGCTAAGGCAACTACACGGCCCATGCTCTATCTTACTCATTGTGAGGGAAGAAAGACCAAAAGCATGTAACAAAAACCCACTGTCCTTAAGGCTTACCTACAAACCCAAATTTCCAAAGACTTACCAACAGAGGCATGAGAAAGGTGGGCTTGCTGCCATTCTTGTTGGTTCACCTGATTTCACTAAAGCTCATAATTTATGTATCTTTCCTTCCTGTCTTGGTCATCTAGTGCTGCTGTAACAGAAATACCACAAGTGGATGGCTTTAACAAAGAGAAATGTATTCTCTCCCTGCCTAGGAGGCTACAAGTCCAAATTCAGGTGCCAGCTCCAGGGGAAGCTTTCTCTGTCACCTCTGGGGAAAGGTACTTGTCATCAATCTTCCCCTGTCGAGGAGTTTCTTAGTGCGGGGATCCCTGGTCCAAAAGACGCGCAATGCTCCTGGCTCTTGTCTCTTGGTGGTATGCGGTCCCCAAGTCTCTGCTCACTTCTCTCTTTTATATCTTAAAAGAGGTCGATTTAAGACACAACCTAATCTTGTAGATTGAGCCCTGCCTCATTCATATAACTGCCTCTAATCTTGCTTCATTAACATCATAGAGGTAGGATTTACAACACAGGAAAATCACATCAGTTGACAAAATGGTGGACAAGCACACAATTCTGGGAATCATGGCCTAGCCAAGTTGACACATATTTTGGGGGGACATAATTCAATCCATGACACATCTCCATGCCTTTTCCCCAACTACAAAATGGGAGTAGGATGAACCCCTCTAGTAACGGGGAGCTCATTTGTTCACTGGGTAGTTCCGGTTATTTTTGAAAGGTCTCTTTATATTGAACCAGATTCTCTCTTCTTCCTGCTTCCACCCATTGGTCCTAATTCTCCCTTCTGAAGCCAAACAGAATTACTCGCCGTCCTGCTCCACAGGATCATGGGGGTTGGGGGATATGAGGTGATAACCATCACCACCATCATCACTGTGTATACGTATTAAGCATTTGCCACCTGCCAGGTAAATCTGTACACCCATTATCTTATTTCTTATGTTTATAATAATCCTGTGAAGTAGGGTTATTATACATATTCTCTCTTCACATTTGGGGAAGCTGAGGCACAGAGGAGGTTCAGTAACTTGCCCAAAGACACACAACTTACGAATGGAAGCCCTCAGGTTTGAGGGCCGACGTAGGGCGTAAGTCTTAACCATTCCTTTATTGCTGCTCCTTCTCACTGTCTCTTGGTTGTGCCTCTTCTGGGTTGAGCACCCTCACCTCCCAGCCTTCTGTGGGACTTGGTGTTCAGATCTTTCCCCGTCCTGGCTGCCCTTTTCTGTGCACACTCCAGTTTGTTACCCTCCTACTCGATGAGGCCCCCAACACTGAAAACAACCACAATGGCAGGATCTGATGGGACCAGGGCTGTGGCACCACCATGTCCCAGGGTTGGGACTCTACGAGACCCTCAGGCCCCAGAAATGTGCAAAGCCATGTAAGGGCTCAATGCACTATCATTATCCTTATTTTTAATTGTACCCAAAGTTCTACTAGCTTTTTTGTTAGCAGCTAGATATAGCCCTGCTGCAGCCTGAATGGGTGGTCATCTCAGTCACAGACCCTCATCCCATGAGCTACTTCTTAGCCAGCTCTTCTCTATCCTGGACTTGGGTGGTTGTTTTTCTTTTTTTTTTTTTTTCCCAGACTTAGACATGTTGTTGTTGGCTGCCCTTCCCTGAGTTGATTCTCACTCACGGTGATCCCAGGTGTTACAGAGGAGAACTGTTCCATAAGGTTTCCTTGGCTGTAATCTTAACGGAAGCAGATTGCTGGGCCTTTTCTTCTGTGGCACCACTGGGTGAGTTAGAACTGCCAACTGTTAGGTCCTGTGCCATCACTGTGATTTGTGGTGGATCAGACTGTTGTGATCCATAGGGTTTTCATTGGCTGATTTTCAGAAGTAGATTACCAGGTCTTTCTTCCTAGTCCATCTAGTCTGGAAGCTCTGCTGAAACCTATTCATCATCATAGGAACACGCATGCCTCCACCGCTGGACAGGTGGTGGCTGTGCACGAGGTGGACGGGCTGAGAACTGAGTCAGGTATTCTTCATGGAAGGTGAGAATTCTACCACAGAACCACGTGTGGATGTGTACATCCCCTTAAAGCATGGTAGCAGTCCAGGGCTCCCTGATGCTATCAGTGACTGAAAAACAAACACCAAAACTCCATCCCTTTTCCTCTCAAGGGGATTCATGAGTTGTTGGAAGTTTATTTCGGAATGCCTCCAATTCTTCATACACATGTTCCTATTTAGACATTCTAGTCACTGAGTAAGGAGCTCTGGTTGCACAGTGGTTAAAGCGCTCAGCTGCTAACTGAAAGTTCAGTGGTTGGAAGCCACCAGCTGCTCCGTGGGAGAAGACATGGCAGCCTGCTTCCATAAAGATTTACACCCTTGGAAACCCTACGGGGCATTTCTGCTCTGTCCTATAGGGCTGCTATGAGTTGGAATCGACTCGATGGCAGTGGGTTTGGGTCAGGCACTGGGTGAAACTTCTGTTCTCCAAACTCCCTGAAAAGACCTTACCTCAATGCTCCACCCAGCACTGTCTCCCCTCCGTATTATCACCTCCTAGACAACATGGCCAGTTTCCCTGTGGTTGGAGCCATTTCCACATCACCTCAATCCATTCATCGTTGTCCCCCTCCCTTCTGAAGGGTAATAATAATAGTAACAGCCCGCACTTAGGGAGAGCTTCCTTGTAAAGGGGCACTGTGCTGGCCCTTCCCCTACTTTCTCTCTTGGGATCCTCACTCCAATGTGAATGCAATGAGCAAGGCACCACCGCGCTCCCTAACTGACAGGGGTTAAGGCCAAGGTTCCGTAACTTGTACTCTGCGAGGCGGTGGGGCTGGAACGCAAACCCAGGCAGTCAGATGCCAGCGCCTGCTCTGGAGATGGAAGCATCAGCGAGGCGAAAGGGGGTTTTTGCTGATCCTGGATGTACAGAAAAACGAAACTTTCAGCTGTTGTCTGAATAACTGAAATCTCCTACCATAGTCTATCCTGTAACGTGCTTAGCGCAGTGCCTGGCACATATCTTGCCTCTATGCCAGCTTTGCAAAAAAACCAGCGTACGCCACCAGCACAGTCTTTGGCAGGTGGTGTTTTATGAAGTCACCTTTCTTCCCTACTGCTGTTCTAATTGTCCTGGGTGCCTTCCATGCCTAGCTATAACCAGCAGCAGCACTCCCTAACCGTCTGTTACTATTATTACAGTTCGCCCCACCTCGGTGCCCCGAGGCATATTTGTGCCTGAATCATTCCTCCACTACCTGAGACCTTGCTGGAAGCATGCTGATGGCCTCTTGTCTGGACCCATGCTAGTGAGAGTCTTGCCAGCCGGTGACTGCACGCCCACCCTCCGGAGTTCTCGGCCCAGCCCCCAACCATCATTCACTGATTCCCTCCAGAACCTCAGGCCAGTAGGTCTCCACAAAGGCTGAAAGCTGCCGCGCTGGGTCTGGGAAAGTGGAGCCGAGAGTGGAACACTGTCGACCGAAATGGAACAGCCACCGGGGCCCGCTCCCCAGCGGGTTCCTGAGCTAAATCCTCCAACTGTTCTATGACGTCACCCGCCCCCCCCGCCCCGCACCACTCCAACTCTCCTGGGGAGCCTGCAAGCAGGGCAGCGGTCCCTGCGCGCACAATTAGCCAGCCCTAACTTTGGAGCCCTGG